TTTATGTGAGTATAGATGTCTCTTTCTTTGAAAATAAATCCTACTTTCACAAAAATTCTCTTCAGGGGGAGAATGAGGTGATGGAAGAAAATTTTTAGGATTTATCTCCTACTCCCTTACCAAATGTGATTTTGACTACTTCACCTTATTCTACTGTTATTCCTTAAATTTATTTTTTCTTTCAGCAAATCCGTTTTGTTGAGGGGTATCCACACAAGTAGACTGATGATAGATACCATTTTCTTTCAAAAAGCTCCCCAAAATTTTATTAAAATACTCGGCTCCATTATCGATGTGAAAATTGCTAATTTTTGCTTGAAACTGAGTTTCAACCATTCTGTAAAAATTCTTAAAAAAAATTTCAACCTCAGACTTTTCATTCATCAAATAAACCCAACATAAACGGGTATGATCATCTATAACAGACCATTTTTCCCTAGAGATAATAGTGACTCTTGAAGGTCCCCAACCATCACTATGTATTAAATAAAATGGTTTTGTATAAGGTTTTGGCAAATAAGTAGTACGATGACTCTTAAATAAGCAATAACTTTCACAATAAAATAATGAACAATCCAAACCTTTAAATAAAGTAGCAAACAAATGTTTAAGATATGGAAAGCTAGGATGTCCTAGTCTTAAATGCCAAAACATTATTTGTTCATAAACAGAGTTAGAACTAACACTACTAAGGCCTTGAGCCTTTTTATTACCGGAGAAGTCCCCATCAAAGTAGTAAAGTCCATCTATTATCTTAGCACTGCCAATCTTCTTCCCTAAGCTCCAGTCCTAAAATTCACAGTAAGAATCACAGAAAATTACACAACAATTAGATTCTTTGGTTAGTTTACTCATAGACAAAAGGTTACAGGCTAGTTTAGGGACATGGAGAACAGATTTAAGATCTAAATTCTCGGATAATTTTATCAAACCTTTTCCTGCAATAGGTGAGAAACTACCATCTGCAATTCTAATTTTTTTCAAGGCCAGAACATGGTGAGTAAGTGCTAAAAAGATTAGAAAGGTTGGTCATATGATCAGAGTCTCTAGAATCAATGATTCATGGAGTAGAATTTAAACAACAAGAAAGGGCATTAAGTGCACTACCTGTTTGTGCAAGAAAAACATTAGGAATACCAGATGAGGATTTAAATTTCAGCAGCTTTAGAAGGTGATCCATATACTCCTTGCTTAAGGGACTTATCTTCGCTTCATTGGGAGTAGGAACCGCACACCTATTTTTGTCACTAGGCTTGCTACTCTTCCAATTTGCTGGTTTTCAGTGGATTTTCCAGCAATTCTCCCAAGTATGGCGCGGTTTGTTGCAGAAGTCGCACCAGACCCGTGGCTTCTCTTCAAGTTTTCATTGAAAATTGACTGCTTTATTAGCAGCAGTCTTAGCAACAATAAAGGCAGAACTCTCAATAGCTCCATTGTAGTCTTCTTCCCCAACATTACATGTCTGCGGCTCTCTTCTCTTCAAACCTCAGCAAACACCTCACCAACTGGAGGAAGTGGAGTCATGCCAATGATCCGTCCCCGTACTTCATCAAATTCCACATTAAGACCAACAAGGAATTTGTAAATGCGATGAGCTTCCACGGTCCGTTTGTAGTGATTGGCATCTTTAATGGACTTCCATTCATAATCATTGAACAGATCCATGTCCTGCCAAAGGCACTTCAATGAATTGAAATACTTGGTGACCGAGTCTTCTCTCTGTCGAATCTCACCAAGTTTTAGAGTCAATTCGTAGATCTGGGACCGAGTCAATAGTTGGAGCTAATATCCTCGTCCATGGAGTTCACAAGATCACCATTGAATTTTCTGCATCCTAGGTCACGTATGTTGGGTCCTCCGATGCTGGTGCCTTCTTGTCTCCCATCAGGTACCCAATCTTTCCTCGCCCTCTGATGTACATCCAAACGGACTGGGACCACCATAAATAATTGGCACCATTAAGGCGAATATTGGTGATCTGAACTGAGTAAGAATTGGCAATTGGGGCTTAGGTTTTGACAGGTGAAGTTGACATAGAGGAAACATCAGACATGGCTGATTAGCGAGGAAATTGTGCAGAAAAGAAAATTAAGGGTTTTTTTTTTTTTTTTCTTTCTAAGGGTGGCTCTGATACCATATTAACTTGATAGGAAAGAAATATAAAATAAACATTTTTTCTGTATTAGCTCACAATTCACAAGTTTACACGGGTTCTCTTTACAGGAGAGAATATACGCACAAAATCAAAAAACTGATTACAGTAACTAGCTGGCCTAATTAATAATTTCCTAATTTACAGCATTTGACCAATATTCTATTTACAACAAATATCCTCCAAATATTATATTTACAATATAATATTTGATAGTATTACTACCGAATCTTTCCTTTTCAACAGCTAGAAATTATTTGTAATATGACCTGTGATCATTATAAATAAAAAAAATTTAGGAGTCTGATGTGAAATTATAATCCATATATGATTTTGGTACGTACCAACAAAACATTTTACATCACAATTGAAATTGTTATTACAACAGACAGAGCTCTTCTTGCATACAAAAATGACAATCAAAAGTATCCAAATTATCCTTTCTTTGCCTCTTAATGCTAGGATGGTGCTCCACAAACAAACAAATGTCTTCTAGGATTTCTCTGTGTTAACCTACAAAATTGCAACAATCAAATAAATAAATTAACTAATTGCTGTATATATGAACATTATATATGAAAAATATGATAGTTCAAAATGTTCACCTTCACCTATAAAGAGAGATAATTATTAGGTGGGTCTACTCACCTTCACCTATGCTCCTCCATAATTAGATGGATACCCATTTTTTTCACCTTGGTTTCTTGTCTAGTGAAACGAATGTAACAACTGTCATCTTCAACTTCACCTTCACCTTCACGTATGTATTCAAATGATAAAGCCTGAATGTAACAGCTGTCATCATCACAAATATTGGGAGGGCCTGGACTGAGGTTTGGTCTCTTCTTCATCAAATTTTTAATTGGTTGTTTTTCTTTAGACAACTCATCATAATATTCAGTTACCTTCGTCAAAATAACGTGATTGCCTTTACACCTCTCATACGAATAACTCTCTCCGTCCACCATCCAGTTCACGCCATAACCGTTGATTTTGAGATCAAATCCAAACTCAATTTCCTGAATTTCCAAAACAGCACAGGTTGTAATTCCTTTGACATTATTCTAAGAAGATAGATGATCTACCACAAAAGAGAAAGAAGACCCCTCAACTTCACTCTTATACCTAAACCATTGCGGAATCTCGCTTCCAGGAAAAATGATCCATCGAATTCCCTGTTCCATGCACGAACACAATAAAGATCCCCAAGTTTTGAATACACATATATATATGTAGATAGAGAGATAAAGAGAGAGGTAAAGTAATTAACCTGAAGCTGAGTTTGTGATGATATATTTGGCTTGTTATCCATCTCATCCATAACCAATTTGTAACACTCAGTGAATGTTAATTCGCAATTTGTTTGGACCAATTCCACTTGGTGGAATCCAATACTGTTCCAATGATTTGCAGCCATGTGCATTCACATAATTTAAAGATGACGGAAATGAAGTCAACGTTCGAAGGCTTGTGCAATCTTCCAAATGAAGGCTTTCCAGACATTTGAGTTGAATGAGGCTTGTTGGTATGATAGAGAAATTGCTTCCACTTAAATTTAAATGAGATAAAGTGCTCAAAACGGAGAGCAGTTCTAGTTGCAAATAATTAGTTGAAGCAGGAGGAGTTCTCTTTTGCACCAATAAAAATGGCACCAATGAATTTGGCATTTTGGGAGACACTTTTTGTAAATCACTTAGCTAAAGGCTTCTAAGGTTACACAAGTGTACAATGGACGATGGTAATAGTTCTATAGCAGTTCCTTCCATGTAAAGGATTCTTAAAACCTTCATTCTAGAAAAAATGTTGCTTGGAACCCCTTTAAGCTTTCGGCAATTACCTACCCTTAAATACTTAAGCGCTTCAAGAAGCTCAATTGATGAAGGAAAATCTTTTATTACTGTTTTCTCCAAATTAAGTTGCCGCAAACTATTCATATGCCCTTGAATCTTCAGAAACTTCTCAAGTTTTAAGCATACTGATAGATTCAAATATTCTAGCTTTTCCAACTTGATGCTTTTTGTGAGACTCCTCAGATTTGTACAATCCTGCAGATCTAATCTAACAAGCCTCTCGTGAACTCCAATCGAATTGTGGAACTCAATTAGATTTTTACATCCTTCAAGATGTAATTCCTCAAGATATGGGAGACTAGACAAGTCAGGAATTTTACACAAATTTAAGGAGTGACCGAGATCAAGGTATTTTAACTTCTCTAGAAATGAGAAAGTAAACAAGCAGTGAAAGAAATCAATCAATTTCAATAAAATCCGATAATACTATTCATATGTAAATAATTGTATAAATAAACTCTTATCACACTTCGTGAGAGTTCCAAATAATCCTCCAAGGGGTTGGTTGTTAGTGAAAGCATACCAACTAAAAAGTCGTAGAGCTTCATCATCATTCAACAACTCAACCTTGTACATTTCATCTACTTTATGCTCCACCAATAAACGTTCATTTCTGGTTATTACAATGATCTTACTTCCAAAACCAAACCAATCATTTGCTCCAACTAAACTTTCCAATTGCTTCAAACTATCCGCATTGTCAAGAACTACCAGGACCTTCTTGTAACATAATCTTTTCTTTATCACATTGATCCCGTAGTCAACATTAGACATCTTTATACCTTCTTCCATTAGGGTGTCATTCAAGAGTTGTTGCAGATTAGTTAGACCGTTATGTTGTTCTGAAACTTTTTTCACATCACTAAGGAAACGACAACCTTCAAATTGATTAAATATTTGATTGAAGACAACTTTTGTTATGGTTGTCTTTCCTATTCCCCCAATTCCACAAATTCCCACAGTGCACACATCCTTTGACCCATTATTTAGCAAAGCAATCACTTTCTTGACACAAGAATCGCATCCTTTGACCCATTATTTAGCAAAGCAATCACTTTGTTGACACGAGAATCTATCACCACTTCATACTTGGCAACATATAAAGGTATATGATCCAATTTTTTTATAATCTCTTGAACAATTTTTTGGATAAATTTCGCCTCATGCCTATGAAATACAAAGTACATTAAAAAGAACTAGCGAGTCATAATTTTTTTTATATTTTTTTAATGGGTAAATAATAAACTGTTCAATCCAAAATCAAAATGAACGTTCATTACCCAAATTCGCAAATGTAATCATTTCTACTTTAATGAGATAAAGGATAAAATGATAAAAGAAATTGAGTTCTGGCAGTTTGGGAAGTATTAATTTTCAATCCAACCCTCTAAAATTCACTTCAAACTACAATACAATTGATATAAGAATCGTATTCGAAGTACACAAATAAATAAAAGTTATTTTAATTATGGATAATTAATACTTATTTTTTCTTTTTGCTTTTCTTAGACAAGTCATGTTCAAACACAACTAGGAAAAAAAAAAGTCATGTTCAAACATGTCTTTTATTTATGGACTTACATTTGAAAACAGCAGCACTTAACTGTTCTATGAACCAAATTAAGTGCTGCTTAACTGTTCTATGAACCAAATTAGCCCAAAAACAAAATGAAAAACTTAATTAGAATGGCAATCTGAAGTTTAACCCACCTATCAATTAAACTTGAAAACATAACATTTTTTTCCCCTTTTTGGTAAGAAACATCTAAAACTTAATAATAACTCTATTTAATAAATATTCGACTTTAATCAGATTAGTTTGATTCTAATTTGGCGTAAAAAGAAAAAAATAGAAAAATAAGGAGATACGCAATTGAGTGCGAACAATAAATCCGCAACTAGCCTATATATTCATTTCAAGATTAAAACACTCACTTAAAATTTAAATATAGTGAACGAGATAATAGGACAATAATATCTTCTCTCCTTCCAAAGTGAGAGGTTGAGGCTTTAACTCCATAGAACAAAAATGCGAGTGTTTATTTATCAAGATATAAAATAATAATAACAATTAAAATTTAGTATAAGATATTCTGCAATTTTTGTCAATAAAAATGAATGCTAATTGAAAATATAAATTGTGCTTCATGTTTGCTTCTAATTAAGTATTGCAACCAAAGTTGTTTAGTTAAACTATTGCACATATTTCATACGGTAATATAGAAGAAGAATAAAATTTGTTGAGTTAGTTATTACCCATTTGCTACATCGTTCAAATCCCACCCGCTTAAATATGCTGCCTCTACCAAAGCTGCCGTCCACTTTTGAACCTTTTCCATGTCGTCTCCAAAATTTTCCTCATGTTTGGCAAATGCTTCTGCAAAACTTTCATTTTGTTTCCGTACTTGTGACAGATCGACATTGTAGAAAATTGGCAAAATTTTTTGTCCCACTTTATTCCTGTATTTAATAATCTCTACAAGTTCATCCAAACACCATGAGGAGGATGCGTAGTTTTTTGAAAAAATGATTATTGCAAATTTCGATTCTTTAATTGCCTTGAGGAGCTCAGAAGCAATCGATTTTCCTCTCTGAAGTTTCTCATCATCTTTGAAGGTGTGAATTCCTTTCTGTTGCAGAGCCATATAGAGATGGTCCACAAATTTCTTGCAGGTATCTTCACCTCTAAAACTCAATAAGACATCACAATTCCATTGAGGCAAATAAGAAGAAGAAGAAGGAGATGCATCCATTGAGGCTTTCTAATTTGTGAATGCAAAATTTTTCGATGTGATTATGATACTTAGAAATATCTCTCCCCCTCTATTCTATAATTGTTGGCTAAGAATCATATCCAAGCAATTTCGTTCCAAATTTTCTTGGTAAGAAGTTGCTGGGAACTTTCTATAAAACTTCAATCTTTTTCTGGGTTATAGAAATGTGTGGAAGTTGTGTAAGATATTAATGTGAGATATTAATTTATTTCTTGGCAATTATCGTAGACATAACAAGTCCAAATTGGGTTGTAATTTAGATTACTTGTTCTACAAGTTAACAAGTTCGACAGGGACTGCAAAACTGGGAAGGAGTTCAAACTTACCATACTTGAAGTGTTTGTGAAGAAAAGGGTAAGAACACTACTTTTGGAAGGAATATGAACAAGGTTGGACATTCTACACTTACCATATTGGTCTGATATTACATTGTAGAATGAAACAAGGCTGAAAGAATTCAAACATTCAGGTCTGCCAACCTTGAACCGGTTCAGCTTCCTTGAACCGGTTTAAGATGTCCTATTTGCTATCCAACTTCAGTTTCCTTATTCTAAATTGTTTCCTAGTTGGTCTAGAATTGTACCAAATCCTATGTATGAATTTTTACCTTATTTTCAGAGGGATTAGGTCATTCTAAACTCTATATAAACCATGTCATATACATTGGTTTATTCATGGCTTTAAGGAAAATCAATTTTATATTTTGAGAAACCTTTTAGAGAGAGAAAATTCAAAAAATCAAATCTGATTATTCTGAATTTACTTTTGAGAGCACACACATATATTCATGAGTGATTTAGTTGTGTTATTCTCTATCTCATTGGAATTAGAGCTATATTAAAGATTCAGAGATTCTGAATGAAGAGCAGGATTTAATTCTTCTATAATCGATTTCAGATCTTGAAGAATAGAAGTGAATGCTCTCACACTTTGAAAGCGTTGGAGCATTCATCGAGTGCTGTCTGATCTACCTGCTACTCTTCTACAAATATCAAGTGTAAGCCTAAGGTTAAGTTGCTGTTGGACGGGGAGTCGCAAAGCCAGAGGATCGTTAACGGTTGGTGTGGTGTAGAACGATAAGGTGTGAGCCAGAGTCAAAGTTCGGTATACTTTGTTTCAAGCATAGTGGATTAGTTTACTTTGGACTGCACAGTCCACGAGGTTTTTCCCATAACAGTTGACGTATTTTATCAAGTGGGGTTTCCTCGCTAAAATCCTGGTGCAATCTCTCTAACTCTAACTTGTTTTACTTTATATATATTTGTGATTGTATATGTTTAAATTGATCATATAATTTAATCAACCATAAATTGAGCAAGTTGACCTAATAATTGATCTAGGTCATTAAAGGAGTTAATCATAATTAAAATCAACTGACTGTTTTCGCACCCCGCATAACTCTTGTTTCACAATTTGGTATCAGAGCGGGATACTCAATATACAGAGTAAATCATATTTGTTGATTAATTGTTGATTTTTGCAACATGTCTGAAAATTCATCTATTAATGTGTTGCCTTTACCTCCTGTTTTTGATTCTGTCATAAGCATGCAAATTGAGTGGTCAAAGTTTAATAAAGGATTTTGAAAATCGGTTAGAGAAATTGAATCTTGCGAAACTTGATAGAGATATTTATAAGTTAGAAGTTTCTGTCTCTAATAAGAATTTGGAAGAAATTGGCCATAAGAATTTGGAAGAAATTGGCCATAAGAATTTGAATCTTCTTCATAAAATTGATTTTCTAGAAAAGGAACTTAAGAAGGTAAATTTGTTTAATAAATCATTGGAACTTAAAATTGATAATTTGAGTAGTGAATTTGTTAAATCAAAACAGTCTATTCAGAAAGTTGATAATGACACTTGCCAACTTGATAAGTTGAAAGGAATTCATGAGAATACTTATAGTAACAAAGAATTGGCTTCTACTTCATAGGATTTATATTTTAAAAAATCTAAAGATGTTTTTGTAGAAGTTGAAACCAAGTCTAGTGTTATTTCTAGTTCTTCCGGACTTATTTCAACATGTCATTTTTGTGGTGAAAAAGGGCATATCGAGTATAAGTGTCAGAAAAGAAAAATTGAACTAAGAAAGAAATTGATAAATCTAGAGAGTTCAAATTTGTGGAAGAAGAGGATTAAGATTGTTGAGCCTTGTGACACTTTGCCTAGAACAATAGGGAAGTCATTGCATAATGAATCTAAAATTGTTTGGGTAAAGAAAGAGAATTTTAAATGTCTTGCCATGCACACAACACTTAGAGCACTTGGTCCATGTGGTTGGTACTTTGATAGTGGTTGCTCTAGGCATATGACAAGGGATAGAACATTGTTTACCACTTTTAAGGAATGTTCAGTTGGTACTGTTACTTTTGGTGATGGTAAAGCTTCTACTATAAGTGGTAAAGGTAAGATTAAATTTTCAGGAATTGGGGAGTTAAAAAATGTTCTATATGTTAAAGGTTTAGCTGCTAATCTGTTGAGTATTAGTCAAATCTATGATGAGGAGTTTTAAGTTAATTTTACTCAACAAGGGTGTTTTGTAACTAATGAAAAATCTGAATGTATCTTGAAAGGAACTAGAACTTCTGATAATTGCTATGTTGTATTTTCAGATTCTTCACTGATGTGTTTTTCTACAGTTACTGATGAGGCAGTTTTATGGCATAAAAGACTTGGACATGTGAATTTTAATGATTTAGTAAATTTGTCTAACAATGATCTTGTTCGAGGTTTGCCTAAGTTGAAGATGCCAAAGAATGAAATATGTGGTCCATATCAATTAGGAAAACAAACTAGAGTGTCACATAAGAGACTTATTCATAAAGTCACTTCTCGACCTTTAGAATTGATTCATATGGATTTGATGGGTCGCATAACACCTGATAGCATTGGAAGAAAAAGATATATGCTTGTTATGGTTGATGATTTTTCTAGATTTACTTTTGTTGCATATTTGAGAGAAAAATCTGATACTTTTGTGAATTTAAGGTCTATTTGCTAACTTATTCAAAATGAGAAAGGATATCGAATTAATCAGTTTAGGAGTGACAATGGAGGTGAATTTGAGCCTAAGGAATTTATCGAATATTATGATAAGAATGGCATTAAGCATAAATTTTCAGCACCTAAAACACCACAATAGAATGGTGTAGTGGAAAGGAAATATAGGACAATTGTAGGTATGGCTTGTACTATGCTTCAGAAGAATAAGATTGTAAGTCACTTTTGGGCTGAATTGGTACGTACTGCTTGTCATATCCTAAATAGAGTTTATCTTAGGATTGGAACTAAAAAGAATTCATATGAATTGTGGTATAATAGAAAGCCTACTGTTAAATACTTTAGAGTCTTTGGAAGTAAATGTTATATCCTTAGAGATAGAGAACACTTGGGAAATTTGACTTTAGAAGTGATGAAGGTGTATTTTTAGGTTATTTACAAACAAGTTGGGCTTATAGGGTTTTTAATCTTAGAACTAAAGTGGTCATAGAGCTTATAAATGTTGTATTTGATGATACAAAATCTAAGATAACCTCTTCTCAACTTAATAAAGAAGAAGCTAATTTTGAAATTATAGGAGAATGGAAAGAACCTACAATTCATGAGGAAGAAAGAGTTGAGAATTTACGTGGAGAATGTGAAGAGGTTGAAGAAGATGAGGATGAGGAATTTGAAGACACCACTGATGAACCTATAAGAATTCTTGCACCATCTTTAGATATTTCTACATCTAGCAGTTCTAGAGTTAGATTGAGTCATCCAATTGACAATGTGATAGGTCCATGGGATAAGCATAGTACTAGGAGTACAGTCCATGATGATATAGGACACTCATATATTATAGATGATATAGTACACTTATGTCACATGGCTCAGTTTGAACCTAAGAATGTTGATAAAGCTCTTCAAAGTTCTGATTAGCTTATGGCTATGCAAGAAGAATTGCTTCAATTTGTGAAGAATGATGTTTGGGAAGTAGTGCCTTGACCTAGTGATGTTAATATCATATGGACCAAATGGATTTTGAAAATAAACTTGATGAACATGGTCTTGTGATGAGAAATAAAGCTAGATTAGTTGCACAAGGATACACTCAAGTTGAAGGAATTGATTTTGATGAGACTTTTGCACCTGTTGCTCGACTTGAGTTTATTCGACTTCTTTTTGCTCTTGCATGTCACTTTAAATTCAAATTGTTTCAAATGGATGTGAAAAGTGCTTTTCTTAATGGTATTTTGCAGGAAAAAGTTTATGTAGCATAACCAAAAGGTTTTATTGATCCACATAATCCTGATTTTGTTTTTCATCTTAAAAAGGCTCTTTATGGTCTAAAGCAAGCACCTAGAGCATGGTATGAGAAGTTGACTTCTTATCTATTGCACAAGGGCTTCAGAAGAGGAGGAGCGGATAAAAAGGTGTTTATTTTCAGTAAAGGAAAAGATTTTCTTGTTGCTCAAATATATGTGGATGATATTATTTTTGGTGCTACATGTGATAACCTTGTTCATAATTTTTCTAATGATATGAGTAAAACTTTTGAAATGAGCATGGTTGGTGAACTGACTTTCTTTTTAAGTCTCCAAGTGAAACAACTTGATGATGGGATTTTTATATCTCAATCAAAATATGCAAAGGAGCTAGTTAAGAAATTTGGTTTGAAAGATTCAAAGCATATTCAAACTCCTATGAGTACTTCATCCAAATTGGATAGAGACTCTGATCCTAACAAGGTTGATTATTTCTTGTATAGAAGTGTGATTGGTAGTTTGTTGTATTTGGTAGCAACTAAGCCAGATATTTCATTTAGTGTACGTGTTTCTGCTAGGTATCAAGCTGATCCTAGAGAACAACACATTCTTATAGTCAAGTGCATTATTCGTTATGTCAATAGTACATTGAATTATGGATTACGTTATTCTTCTGAGTCTAACTCTGAGATTGCAGGCAATACTGATGCTAATTAGGCTGGTAATAAGGATG